CACTTCATCGTCTGTATATAATAGGGCCACTGATTTTTTTTTTAGTTTACTTTGTATCCTGCCACTTTGATAAAGGTGTTTATCAGCTCTAGGAGTTCCCTTGCGGAGTTTTTTGGGTCACTTATATAAACTATCATATCATAAGTTAATTTGTCAGAAATGAGTCAGCCAAGAAATATTGTCTCTGTTTATGGAATTGTTGTGTTCAAATTTTACACACATGTATCTACTAGAGAAAACATAACAGCTCTAGTATAAGTCAACCAACACCGTGGGGCTGAATTATATACTTGCCTTCTCTTCTTCCTCACTGATTATGAAATTAAGTCTTTTGAACTCTTTAGTTTTTAAACTGAATGCAGCCAGTTAGTGACGGCACATGCTTTAATCCCAGCAATTTGGGAAGTAGAGGCAGATGAATCCCTGAGTTCAAGGCCAGTCTGGTCTCTCGGTGGATCCCTGAGAGCAAGTTCCAGGACAGCTAGGATCACACAGAGAAACCCTGTTTAAAAAAAATTAATGGAATGGCTCTTCCCACTTTGGCCATGTTGAATACATCTCTCCTTTTTTATTTACACACACACACACACACACACACACACACACACACACACTCACACACACACAAGAATGGAGGAACTTAATATTTCCTAAAGCAGTATCATTCACATATACATAAAAATAATTGCCGGCAAAAGGAAGTTAATAACTCCGGCTTCTGCAGGCTCTCTCACCAGGATTGACTTAACCATAATGTAAACTCTGAACATTTGGCAGTGTTCTCAACTTGGCCATATTATCTTTAAGAAGAATGCGTCTCACAGGCAACAAAACAGCCTTGTTTGTAAATCCAATCAGCAAGCCTGTGAAACCATACATTTCAATATAATTGAAACCATTTATATTTAGTTTATTATTGAGATGTATTTGCCGATTCCTACGTTTGACTTTTTGTCAACATATTTGGTTTAAGCAGTGTTCTTTTCTTCTCCCTTATTCACCTCAGAGCTTTGTTTGCTTACTGAGCTGGGCATGTCTGATCATTTCCTACTTACCATTTGTTCACCCATTTCTCTGATGGAGTTAACTCTGTTCTGAGCGCCTGGATCTGTGACTGTCTTTTCCTTCTTCAGGTATCTTCTGCAATACTACCTAGTAGTCACTGAATCCCTTTGGTTTGTGTTTATGTTGGAAAGTCTTTATTTCTCCATTGTTTTTTAAAGGTAAAATGGGTGAGTATGGCAATCTTGGTTGACAGCTATTTATTCTCAGAGCTTAAAAAAAGGTTTGAAGCCTCTGCCCTGAGAAATCCAGTGTTGGTCTGACCAGATGGTCTTTGAGTTGGCATTTTCCTCTTGAGTACTCAGAATTGTGTCTTCGTTCTCTACTCCTGGCTTTTTGACTATAACGACACTGAGTTATTCTTTCCTAGTCATGTCTATTTGGGTTCTAAATTACACTTGTTCATGGCTGCCCTCTCCTTCCCTGGATTTGGAAGTTTTCTGCTGTGTCCCTCATCAAATATGTTTTCTTTCCCTTCCATTTGTAGTCAGGCCTTTTTCCACCCATAGGCTCTTATTTTTGGTTTTGTGATTGGGCCCCAGAATTCCCACAAGCTGTGGCCGTGTATATCTTTTTCTTTTATTAGTCTCTGAATATAATATCTCCTCAACCTCAAGTTAAATTCCTAATGTTTTTTTTCTACTCCTTGCCCTAACCTGATGGTGGCTTTTCCTTTCCAGTGCTCTGTTCCATACGCTAATGGCAGCTCTTCCTTTCCAGCGGGCTCTGTTTGATATGCTGAGCTTTTCATTTCCGGCCCTTCTGCTCAGCTGTTGCTTTGTTTGCTGCTTTCAGACGCTCAGATTTCTTGGTGAATTCCTTGGTGGTGCTGACTTTTCTTGCCCAGGTTCTGAGGTTCCTTCTTACTTCTTGATCTGCTTGTTTGAATCCACTTTGATGACACTTATTATTTTTGATTAATACTTTGACATATCAGCTATTTCTGTATCTTTGATTTAGTAATTAAAGAGATGCAGTCTTATGGAGGAGTTACGACACTTTGTTTTTTCTTGCTTCTTATGTTTCTGAGCTGTGATTTGCTCATCTATTGGAATATTTGTCTCTTTCAATTTTATTTTTTTCCAAAAATTTCTCCCTGAGTGTTGGGGAAAGCCGACATCTTGTCTGTACTTTCCCACTTCAATCATTGCAGGTGTTTGTGACCTTGGAGAGGTGTGGGTGGTTCTAAAATCAAGCCGCTGTGTGGCTGTAGCCAGCCACAGGGTGTCCCTCAAACCAAGGATACCCTGACACTCTCTCCCTGGAGGTGGCATCCATTTCCACAGGCTGGGGCTAAGTTCCCAGACTGCCCGCCCCCTTTAGATACTGTCACAACCCAAGCTGTCATGCCCATCCCCCTGGCCAACAGTCACAGATGGGAACTCCCATGACCACATCCTCATCTTCCCTTCGTCTCCTAAAGCAGCTAAGGGAACTCAGGGGAAGACACTCTCAAGCATTCTCATTTTTACAGAAGATATTGCAAAGCATACCGATGAAAATGCGTAGAGGGGGGTGTACAGAAGGAAATAGGCATCCTTGCCCTTTCCCAACCTCCAGAAACATCTCTCTGTTGAGCTATCAAGGAAACTCTGTGAACTCCGACCTTTCTAGTTCCCGTGCAGACTCTATTTAATGTGCAATGGTCTAGCTGGGGAAGCAATCAAGGGCTGTCTGCTCAGGGGCCCCCTGGCCTCTGTGCGTGAGTGCGTGCGTGCGTGCGTGCGTGTGTGCATGCATGTATGCAAGGAGAAAGCCAATAAGCAATATTTTTCCATGGTTTCTGTTTCAACCTCCTGCCTTGAGTTCCTACTTTGGCTCGCCTATGTGGCAGACTGTAACCCACAAGGTGAAATACACCCTTTCATCCACAAGTGCTTTGGTCATGGTGTTTATTGCAGCAATAGAAAGCTAACTAGGACATGGAAGATAATTCTAGATTTTGTGCCCTGCCTTGGGGAGAGGCCTGTGAGCCAGGAGCCAGGGATTAAAACAAAAGGTGTATGTTGTCACACCTTGAACTGCTTGCAGCAGCATTCAGGGATACCATGTCCTCTCCTGGTTGAGTACATCAGTCTTCACTTTTTGTTTACCGTGAGTACATATATGTTCGTTTGCAGGTGCCCATGTGTGTGTACACACATACCCATGCGCACGGAGGCCATAGGTCAACCTCAGGAGACATTCTTCAGGAAGACACTGTGTTCCTTGAGACACACTTTCTCACTGGACCCTGGAGCTCACTGATTAGGAAAAGCTGGCTGACCAGCCAATTATAGGGATCCACCCCTTCCTCCCTAGCACCGGGGTTATAGGCATGGATCACCACGCCCTGCTTTTTTTTATATAGTTCTATGACTTGAACTCGGTACTTGTGCTGTCCACAGTGAGTATTTTGCCAACTGAGATGGATCCCTGAAATTTTTGACTGTGTGCAGCCTCTAGCTTCTCCACACAGCTGTTTCCTGGGTGTACTGGGTAGCGGGTTGAGTGGTTCCGTCCCTATGACATTCAGAGTTCTGCCCAAGTTGTGCCTGGACACACTGTTGCCCGCTGTACCAGGGACCTCCTAGTGCCTGGGATGCTGCAGTCCAGGGTTAGACACAAGGCCCAGCAGAGGGGGTTAACTGCTCCGTGATCAAGAGCAGCTGTAGGGAGCAGGCAGGGCCAGTCCAAGCTTCTTCCTGATGGACAGGCAGGTGGGTCAGCCAAGCTGAGGCACTGGTGGAAAGGTACAGGACTTGGCCAGAACATCTGGAAGCCAAGGGACAGTGTAGACAGGTACCAGGGTCGGCCTCACGTTGCAGGCCAGTGAGATCACCAGGGAGCACGGGGACATCCTGGCTGTGGAGTGTGACCTGTAGAAGAAGGAAGCAGTATTGTGCCATGTCCGCGGACACTTCCCTCCTACCTCAGCTCCAAAGGTGAGGGATCCAGGACCACCCTTCCCTCCAGACGGAGGGGATGGTGCTTCTGCAGCTGGCATCACTCTGTTTCCAGTTCCCTTGTCCTTCAGCTCCTAGCTTCCAGAACATGACCACTGTTGCTCCCTCTTTTTAATCTCCTAAACATAGCTTTAGATGAGGGACTTTGTGTGTGTGTGTGTGTGTGTGTGTGTATGTGTGTGTGTGTTTCGGAAGGGCAAAATCAGATTCAATCGAGTGTATTAACAAGAGGCTCTTGCAGCCGAGCCTATAATAAGCTATAAGTGGTATATTGATTTCACAGGACAATTTCCTGAATCACGGGGAGGGGGCTTGGACATCTGCCCCTACAGATGCTGCCCAACCATCAGATACACACGGGTAGCTGTGTCCTGCAGCCTCTCCAGCCCCACCCAACAGCACCCTGAGCGGGTTGGAGACGGTTCTGCCAATCACAGCACACTTGTGGAAAGAGTTGTGTGGTACCCACCAGACACTGGGCTCCTGGCCGTCTGGGACTGGCCCTGGTGCAGCAGACAGGGAGCTGGTTGGCTGGATTCTGCTGTGGAGCATTACACACCTACCTTGGCTGTCTAGGCCAATGTCTTAGGGTAGAATGTGGCCTCTGCTCAAAACTCGTGGTGAAAGAGAATTAAAGGGGGTGATTAAGCAGCCTAGGCTCTGTGGAAAAGGTGACTTTAGTCAGAGGCCCTGTGAACGATGTCCTGAACACAGGCCTGCCAGTGGGTTTTAAAAAGGGACTAAGGTTTAGATAGACCAAGTGGGATTGGAGCTCCAGGCGGAGACAAACTGGCAGCAAAGGCTGGGGAGCGAAAACAGAGCTTGTGTTTGTGTTCTGAGGTTCTAGCCCAGCGTCAGGCTCCCTTAGCCGGTGTCCCATCCAAAAGATGGCTTGGTGAAGGCAAAGCATGTGCCCAGCTGGGCTGGTGCATGCCACTCTCACCCTGTCCTATCTGTCCCCCTCCCCCTGACCACCCTTCCTCCCCGGCCCAGGACCTGGACGACATATACCAAGATGCAGCCAGCAATGTGCTACTGGCCCTCTGTCGGCATTCGTGGTCAGCGGTAGCCAAGCACTTGGAGACAGAGCTCCTGACGGGTGTCTTCCCACACCGCAGCCTGCTGTATGTGCTGGGCGTCCTGTCCTCTCAAGGTACGTGCTGCCCTAGGATGAGTCGAAGACCAGGCAATGAAGGGAGACCGTGAAGGGCCTCTGGGATCACTCCTCCCCATGGCCATGGCTACACGTGCCACCCCAAGCCCCTGCAGTCTAACCAGCCCCCTCAGCAGCTCTGAGCCCATGCCTCATGACCCTTCAGCAGCCCTGGTCATGCTAGGGACCTTCCCACAGAAGGTCCTCTGCACCACTGTCTGATAGAGTCCAGGAGTTGGCCCAGACCCTGTGAAGTTGCCTCTCCGCTTTGACCCTTCCATACAGTGGCTGTTTCACTGGTCCCCTCCCTTAGCCACACAAGGAAGATGAGAATCCCAGCTCAAAGAGGTGGTATTGGTGGTCAGGCTCACCCAGGCTGCCCTGGACCCTCCCCTTCTGCCTGATCTCATTCATTCACTCTTGACAAGCATGTGCTGTCCTTATGACCGCCCAGTTGGGAAGGTGCAGAGCTGTGACAGGGGACCAGCTGCCCAGAGGCCACTGTAGGGCTACCCAGAGGGCTTCCTGTAAGAGACAGCCAGTATGAGCCACATCCAGCCAGGCCTTGGTAGCAATAGGTCAGCAGCTAACAAGTTCAGACAGAGAAGAGGCAGAAGTTCTGGAGATTTTATGCTCAAACCTGGGACCCCCCCCCCAAAGCAAGCCCTTCCTACCTGGTGGAATTTCCAAATTTCCCAGAAGACCTTCCTGTAGACAGAAGTTTCTGTCCCACTAGGTTCTAGAGCCATTCAATCCCAAATAAACACACAAAGGCTTATATTTATTATAAACTGCTTGGCCTGTTGCTCAGGCTTATTACTGTCTTTCTCTTACAACTTAAATTCACCCATAATTCTTATCTATGTTTAGCCACGTGACTTGGTGCATTTTCTCAGTAAGGCACTCTTATCTTGCTTCCTCTGCATCTGGCTGGAGACTGCCTCTCTGCCTTCCTCTTCCCAGCATTCTCTTAGCCTGGTAACCCTGCCTATACTTCCTGCCTGGCTACTGGCCAGTCAGCATTTTATTAAACCAATATGAGTGACAAATCCTTACACTGAACAAGAGCATTATCCCACATCACCTTCCAACCCCACAAAGCGTCCCTTCCCAGCCTTTTTTCCCCATACTTAAAGGGACCGCAGCCCATCCCAAAGGACCATGCTCCCTCCAAAGGGCCCCTCCAATAACTTCCAGCCCAGATCTCTGGACCCCGAACTCCATTTCAGCTCATGTCCTACCCTACCCCCAGCCCTGTGGATCCCACCAGGCAAGAGCAGGCTGGTGTCTGGGGGGTGTAACCTGGCCTGTAACCCACTCCCTTCTCCCACAGAGGAGCTTCTCAAGAAAGAAGACAGAGAGAGCTGGAAAGATCTGCTGTCCCAGGTATAGAGGTATCTCGTCACCCCAGACTTTCTGAGGGACATCAGTGAGGGAGAGACAGCTGTGAGAGTTCACACGGGAGCCCCTGCTGTGGCCTTGGAGGAAAAGGGGAAAGGGAGAGGTGGGGAGGATGAAGGGGCGAGAAGGAGGAAGGGGAGATAGGTATGGCCGGGGCATAGACAAACAATTTCCACTTACAGATAAGCACATAGCCCAGGGGCAGGAGGTAGCTTGACCAAGGATTTAAGTTGTGGTCACTAGACACTCAGCACAGAGATGTGACACTCTGTGTCAGCACAGAGAAGACTCTCAACACAATCAAACCCTTGCCACTCATACCTGGGGGACCAGAAAGGACACAGGGGCCAGAGTTAAGACTGGGAAGGACAGAGACCAGCTAAGGTCCACTGGAGGTGTGATAGCATCAGAAGCAGTGTCGGGGCAGACCTATCTCTGACCCTTTCCCAAGTGAGGGGCTTGTCCTGGGCTCATGTCCAAGGTCAACTCCTCACAACTGTGGCCTGGGCTGACTTCCTTTGCCTCTCTGGGGCTTAGTTTGCTGATCTGTAAAATGGGGTTAGAGGCAGTTGGGAAGGGATGTCCCTCGGTGTTGGTCATCAGCGCTGTGGCAGGCAGCAGACCGAGAAGCTGGAGTAGGGTGAGGAGATGGAACGGAGCAGCAAGACTGGAAGACCAGAGGCATCGTTAGCCACGTTCATGTGATGGGCGCTCCTCGCTACTGGGAATAGGACTGGCTGTGTATCAATGCCTGATTAAATTTAAAGGGACTGAAACCAAACAAGACTTTCTATGACCGAAACATAGACGAGGTCAGTGTTAAAACACGTCTGAAAGCATTCCAAATGCTTGGAGATCAGTCAACTCACTTCTCAGTAAAATACGGGAAAGACATCTGAAGGAAAAGTAAATAATATTTTTAGTGACCATTAATGAAAGCATTTGAACATCCTGAGACACAGAAAGCTTTTTGTATTAGAAAGGGCATACAGCTTCGTTGTTGGAAGCTACCAGGGGAGAGCAAACTAAACCCAAAATAAACAGGAGGAAGGAAAAATGCACTCAGAATGCCATAAGCTTGAGACCAGCCTTGTCTACCTAGCAAGTACAGAGAAAGGAAAGATGGCTAGACTGATTAAGAGGGGGAAAATCGCTTTCAGCGAAGAATAATTAACGACGGTACAAGCATATTACTTATTAAAGGATTCCCTGCAAAACACAGATTACCAGAACTAAAACAAGAGGAAAGAGAAGGTCTCAGTAGTCCTGTTTCTGTCGAAGAAATGAGAATGACAGTGTGGGATCTTCTCATTCCAAGGCAAGCCAGCTGTTGCAGCAAGCACACCAGTCCCTGGACAGCGTGTTTGCACAAGAGTAAAGAGCTTACTCGCTGGCTGCCTAGCAAGTGGACACAGGAAAGCAGGTCTGAACTCCACCAACAAGGCCTGGGGACAGGTGACTGGGTCACACGTCACCCCAAAGCATGTTAGGTGTCACAGTCGCATGACAGTGACCGCAGGTGGAATGGGATGTCTGCTCAGGACAGCGGTTTCCCCCTGGGTTTTGTGCCCAGCGAAGAAAACTCCCAGTGATACTTAGAAGAACTCCGTGAGGCTCTGCACACCCTGCACATGCCTGCACAAAGTGCACAGCAGCCATCTTGCTCTAGCCTCAAACTGGAGACGCCTGGAGCTGGCAGATCCCCCAACTCAGTGTCTACCTCAGGGAGCCAGGCAAAGAGAACACTCCTGAACCCAAACCAACCCAAACCAACCAAATTCTACACTCAAAAAAAAAAAAACAGGAATGAGGTCCTGGTGCAGGCAGCAGCATGGATGGATCTCAGAAACACTCACCCTTAGTGCAATTCCAGAAATTCCACTGACTTAGGATATCGGGAAGGGTCCTGCTGGAGCTCTATGCAGACACCAGTAGCAGGAAGTAATGAATCTCCCAGTTCTAATGTGTGTTCAAATCTCTTACCCTTTGCACTGTGAATTCTACTGTATGTGAACTACGCCTGAAAGTTTTAAGTGATGAGAGCACCCCGTGAGTAAAGGTACTTGCACCAAACCTGGTGAGCTGAATTCAATTCCCAGGACCCACATGAAGGAGAGAATGGACTACCTCAAGTTTCCATCTGACCACACACATGCCATAGCACAAGTACACACTCACACACACACACACACACACACACACCACACACACACACACACACACACCACACACACCACACACACACACACACACACACACCATCATCACCATCATCACCATCATCACCATCATCACCATCATCACCATCATCACCATCATCACCATCATCATAAATTAAGAGCATTTTTAATTTTATTTTCATTTTATGTGTGTGGATGCTCTGCCTTCATGCATGCTTGTGTACCAGGCATGTTTCTGCAGAAGTTAGAAAAGGGCAATGGATCCCATGGAACTGGAGTGACAGATGGTTATGAGCCACCATGTGGGTGCTGGGAACTGATCCCAGTTCTTCCAGAAGAGCAGCCAATGCTCTTAACTACTAAGCAACGTCTCTGACCTGTGTGTCTGTGTATGTGTGTGTGTGTGTTGTATGCAATATATATATAATATATAGTATGTGTTATACATGCAATGCATGTTGTACATATTATGTACTGTATAATACATTGCATATTATATACATGATATATCCATATATACATTAATTGGGAATAAAAAGGCTTCAGCGTTTCAACTAGTTAGGTTTTTCTAAGTGCAGTGGTGCCTGCCCTGTATCATCCCTGACAGCTCAGCTCTGAAGAGAATGTACAGCACACACACACACAGACACACACACACACACCTGCTTCTGGGTAACCTGGAGGCTTCCAAGCACAAGCAGCCACTGTGCTCTGAGATTAAGCTGGCATCTGTTCTGTATCCTAGAGTGCGGGGAGAGGACCAAGAGTAGGACCCAGCCCAGACAAGCACGCTTTAATCAGGTTCTGCCATCTGTAGAGAGCAATTGCCATCTCAGGGCTGGGAGCTAGGGATGACACAAGCAGTCCTACCTACAGGGGGCGCTCTAAGTTAGTCTTCTTCCCTGCAAGGCAGTCCCCCTCAGGTTCACGGTGTCTCTAATTTAGGACTTCTTTAGGGTAAATTCCTAAAAGTTTAGTTGCTTAGACAAATGTATTTCAGGTTTTAATTGATGTCAATGTTGTTTTTTTATTGCTGTTGCCAAAACCTTCGCACATACACAAAGAGCTGTCAAGTGCTGTAATTAAAGAGCACTTTAGTTACAGAACTGTTGGGCATCTTCAGTGCTGTGCTCACAGGGCCTGGATGAAGGAAGAGACAGTACACACAAGCTGTGTGGGGCTGACACTGTTGTAGAGACTTCTTTAGTAAGCAGCGCACATACTCAGCGATCAAAGGACTAGATGCATGAGCCAACAACAGAGTCATTTACCGTGACCAAGGACTACACACATCACCATAATTGTGTGTGTCAGATTGGACAGTTCTGGTGGTTCTTATCCTGTTCCCACCAGCATCACCACATTACCACAAAAAAAAAAGAAAAAGAAAAAAAACACATGAACAAAGAAAGACACTATGACAGCCACAGTAGAAATTTCCCAGATCCATTTCGACTTAATGGGACCATATTGTCTGTGGTCCACAGTTGGTGGAAATGACATTATGCATCTAGTCTTCGTGCAGTCTTGGCTCAAGTTATGCCATTACTTTAATTTCCATTTTTTTAAATATTGTCTATTTGTTCGGGGGAGATTATAAAGCATCACATGAGTGTGTCTGTGTGCACGGCCATCTGAGCATCGGCTGTCTTTCTCTATTGCTTTCTGCCTCAATGATGGTCTCTAACTGAACCTGAAACTCACCATTTTTGAAAAACTAGCTGACTAGCAAGCTCTCCCCGAATCCACCTGGTTTTACTCCCCCCACCCCACCCCACACACACCTCTAGTGCTAGCATTACAGACACATGCAGCCATGCCTGGTTTCTTTGTTTGTTTGTTTGTTGTTTTGATTTTTATGTGGATGCTGAGAATTCAAACTCAGGTCCTCAAGCTTGCCCAGAAAGCTCCCTTAGCCACTGAGCCATAGTCTCAGCCTCCAGTTTCCACTTTTTAAATATTTGACGGGTTGAGCTTTTGCCACCTTCATCAGATGTCCCCTTTTGTCACTTTCAATCAGAGTGTCATAGATACTTATCTATTGCTGTGAAGAGACATTATGAACAAGAAAACTTATAAAGGCAAACATGTAATCGGGGGCCCGCTTGAGGTTTCAGAAGGTCCGTGACCACCATGGCGGGGCACGTGGCAGCGGGCAGGCAGTCACACGCCGCAGTAACCGCTGAAAGCTCACATCTGCTCCACAAACAGGCGACAGAGAGAACAAACTAGAAATGGGGTGGGCTTTTGAATCCTCAAAGCCCACCCCCAGAGACACAGCTCCTCCAAAAAAACACAACACCTCCTCCTAACCCTTCCTAAGTGGTCCCAGCAGCTGGGAGCAAGCGCTCAAACACATGAGCCTGTGGGACCATTACCATTCAAACACATGAGCCTGTGGGACCATTACCATGCAAACCACCACAGGCTCACAGCCATATCGTCATGCAAAATTAATGTAATCCAACTCCAAAAGACTCCATAGTTTTCACAGTCTCAACGCGGCTGAAAAGTCCAAAGTCTCACCTGAGACTCAAGGCAGTCTCTTAACTGTAACCCCTGTAAAATCAAAAAGTAAATTACACACTCCCAACAGGCAACGGCACAGAATGGACATTACCATTCCAAAAGGGAGAAAAGGGACACCTTTTCTCAACTGTATGTTTCAACTTAGTTTATTTTTTTAAACAAATTTCTTTGAACATTTGTCAGTATTTTATAAGATTTGGGGGTTAAGAGGATATCCCTAACACCAGAAGAATGTTGGAAACAAAAACCTCAGAGTTGTTGACTTGTGGAATCTGGGGATATTGGAAACGAAGATCTTTACAGGCATCCTGTTGACCTAGGGTGGGGACTTCCAGAATCCTGCATCTAGAAAGGGCATTGCATTCACTCACTTGATTGTTCATCTCTCTGAGAAACAGTGGAGTACCCACCAGAGTCTACCACCCTGCCAGGCACTGGCACACACTTCAGATGAAACAGACAGAGTCCTGCCTATGGTTCCCACCCTGTCTCAGGGCCACTTTCACTGACAAGGCTGGTCTGAGCCCTCTGCTTATGTTGGGAATCCAGACTCCCAGACTTGTGGATGTCCTGACATATCTGGGGGCACCTTGAGGAGTGTGTTCCCCGTCTCTGAGATCCATCCAATGAGCAAAAGAGCTGAGTCCTGGAAGCCCAGGGAGGGGTAGACAGGGCATGATGGAGTCAGGGCTGTTGGGCTGGGGGCGGGGGTAGTGCCTCCAGCCCTGCCCGCCCCACCTGCTCACAGATGGCCAGAAAGTCGGTGCCATTCCTGAACACAGATGTGTGGTCCAAGGAATTGCTGTGGACCCTTACCAAGTCTGGCCGGACACAGCAAGAGCACACCCCAGAAAAGGTAGGCCCACTGCCCCCAGAGACCCCAGCCTGCTTGCCGCATAGGCCCATGGGCTCGGTCATAGAACACATGGTCCTTGAAAGAAATATGGTGGGGCCTAACGGGAATAGGAACCAGGCCTGGGCAGCTAGACTAGAAGTGTCTCCCTCCCTCACCAGAGGCTGGGGTTTAAGGCCACCCTGGGGCAAGATGGGAAGGGAAGAGAAGGTCAGGGAACCCAGGGAAGTTGGTCACAGGAGCTCAGGCCAGGTGTGTCCCACTCAGGACAGTATGTTGAACCCCACAGGACTTCCTGTTCACCTACTATGGGCTAATCCTTCAAGCTGAAGAGAACAGCGCCACCATCAGGACACACCTCAAAACCCTCTTGGAAACGTCTCACCAGTGGCCCAAGCAGAGGGAGGTGAGGGCACAAGCGGCGGGGGGCGGGGTAAAGGCACAAGGTGGGGGTGAGAAAGCCCAGTCTCCTTCGGTCCTCTAACTGCCTAGCCCAAACCTTAGCTTTGGCCATGGTCATATACTGCGCCCTGATCCTGATCATGAAGTGACTTGCGCTAGTCACCTACTGATCCCTGATTTCCATCACACATTGGAATCCTGTCACACACTGTGCCCTGACCCTGGTCACACATTGAGCTCTCCTGAGTCTTGTCACACTGAGGTCCCCATCCTGGTCATACACTGGTCCCTTATAAGTCTCATACAATGGGCTCTCATTCCAGTCACGTTCTGAGCCCTGGTGCTAGTCACATCCTAAGCTCTCGTCCTGGCTACATGCTGGGCCCTGGTCCTATTCATGGGCTCCAGTCTTAGCCATACTGTCAGAGCCCTGATCTGGTCACACACTGAGCCCTGGTGCTGCTCACAACCTGAGACCATGAACACTCACTGAGGCCTGATCCTTGTCTTATACTAATCCCTGGCATGGACTCTAATCCTGGTTACATTTTGAGCCTTCATCTTGCACATCCTGATCTCTGCCATCATCTCACAATAGTCACTGATCCTGGTCACACCCTGAGCCCTGAGCCCTGAGCCCTGAGCCCTGAGCCCTGAGCCCTAAGCCCTGAGCCCTAAGCCCGAGCCCTGAGCCCTAAGTACTGAGCCCTGAGCCCTGAGCCCTGAGCCTGAGCCCTGAGCCCTGAGCCCTGAGCCCTAAGCCCTGAGCCCTAAGCCCTGACCCTGAGCCCTAAGTACTGAGCCCTGAGCCCTGAGCCCTGAGCCCTAAGTACTGAGCCCTGAGCCCTAAGTACTGAGCCCTAAGTACTGAGCCCTGAGCCCTAAGTACTGAGCCCTGAGCCCTGAGCCCTGAGCCCGAGCCCTGAGCCCTAAGTATTGAGCCCTGAGCCCTGAGCCTGAGCCCTGAGCCCTGAGCCCTAAGTCCTGAGCCCGAGCCCTGAGCCCTGAGCCCTGAGCCTGAGCCCTGAGCCCTGAGCCCTGAGCCCTAAGTCCTGAGCCCGAGCCCTGAGCCCTGAGCCCTAAGTCCTGAGTCCGAGCCCTGAGCCCTGAGCCCTGAGCCCTGAGCCCTGAGCCCTGAGCCCTGAGCCCTAATCACAGCATAGACCCTGACTCAGTCACAAACTAAGCCATAACCTCGTCCCTGGGTTCTCGTACATATCTTCATTCCTGCACCTGAGCATGTCTGTTCAGAGCTGTCATGAGAGACAGCCAACCCCAAAGGCTTCCTCTGTACCCCTTCCCTCCCCAACCCCACCCACAGACTCCACAAGAGACACCTCACGGGTGTCTCAGCTCTGAGTTGTGTGTCCTAAAGTGTGTGTGAGTCCAGGGCGCAGACTCTGGGGCCTCGCCCACAGGGCATTGCTCTCACAGTGGGCCTGGCTGCAGTACGCCACTTGGATGATGCCTGGGCCGTCCTAGAACAGTTTGGAAAGAGCACACCCATCAAGTGGAGCCTGCAGAGCTTCTCCCTGAAGGTATCAACAGGGCTCTCGGGCTTGCAGGGAAAGGAGAGGCGGGGCATCAAACCCCACACTGCCTGAAGGAAAGCATAACAACCACTGTGGGGTTCTGGCTGTCACTGAGGCTAGGATTTATGGACAGGGGACACCGGCCTGAGAAGTGCTTACGAACACTGGGAGGGACTCCATGTCACTCCATGCACCTCACTGCACTCTGCGCGGCTCCCCCTGGAAGACACAGTGCCCAGGGCCCGCTGCACGGGGTCCTTGGTGGGGGAGGCCTCTTGATGCTTTGCAGATCTGCTCATGCGTAACCCCGCATCCTAGAGAAGGCCGGAAGCCTCCAGTGGGTCTTCGCATCTGGCAGAAGCGAGCCTACAGAACCGAGGTGCCTGCCTCAGTGTCTCAGAGGGTACCTGGCACTGATAAATAATATCACATGCTAGTGCCCTGGTGACATCTGAGAGGAGAGGTGACTCTGGGCCACACCCAAGCAGGAAACTCCCCTTGGCTCGTTACTGTCTGTCTGGGTAGGAGCATGGTATTTTCAGGGACCCCGAAGTCCACAAGGGTGTGATGTGCCAGACTCTTTAAGAAAAAGGTGCTGGACTATAGGGAAAGGGCTATCACAGGAGACTCCCCAGCTCTTCAAGTTCCAACAGAACCAAGTGCCCTACACATAGCCCTTGGTGTCCTAGTATAATCAGTCCAACCCCCTAAAAAGCCAATCCCACTTCTGCTGTTCTCATTTGGTGAACAAAGACCCTCTAGACACCCCCTCCCACCTTGCTGGGATCAGGGTATGCCCTGTCACCACTCCAGTAGACTGTGGGCAAGGCCTGACACCGAATCCACCCCTGCCCGGCCCCACGGCCAGAGCCTCGAGGACCTGCGGTGGAAATGGGCTGGCAGCACCATCCTCCTCTCCTATGGCCAGATGGCAGCCAGGGCCAAGAGCCACATCCTGCCGTGGGTGGACAACATCCTGTCCAGGATGATCTTCTACTTCCGCTTCAGCTCCTGGGTACAGGTCGCCTTGTCCCCGTCACCCCAGTCCCACACACCCTCCACAGCAGAGCCGGGTTCCAGCTCCGCTCTGCCCCAACTGCAGAGTCAGGGACCCACGGCCACCTGTGGCCTATGCCCACCTCCCCACTTCCCCCAACTCCTGGAATCACACCAAAAGGGAGCTCTTACAAAACAAATGCTGGGGCCTCACTTGAGGAGGGGTTGTATACTGAGAGGCCTCTAAGGCTCTCCACAGCCCGGATTGTTGCAAGGGCCACCAGCAAGACTTTCCCGTCAAGGCTGTAGCCACCACACCCCAGAAACCCTCACAGGCCCCTCTTGTGTTTTGACCAGGCTCACATGGCCAGGCTCATGTTTGAAACAAGAGCATGTGCCCCTTCCTGAAGAAAGCCCCACCCACAAGTTCCCAGCCCAGGGTCTCTGCCACATCCCTCTCACCCTGACCAACTGCACCTGGAGATGGTGGCCTTGGCCTCCCTTCTTGCTCTCTCCACAAGCTCCTAGGCTCTCAGCCTAATCTGTGCCCTGGGGCCTCACTACACAGGATGAGACCCTGAAACAAAGCTTCCTTACGGCCGTCACGATGCTGGTAGGGGCCATCAGCCGGAGTGAGGGTGCCCACAGCTACGAGTTCTCCCAGACTAGCGAGCTCCTGGAATGTCTGACGGTGCGTGCCAAGCCCTGCGCTCAGGCAACCCTCCTAAGCAGAGCCCCCTCCCTCAGACCAGCAGCTACTCCGGGTACAGGAAGCCCCCTCCTCCGGCCCATCTGGAAATACTCCAAGTCCTCCCCTCCAGGTTCCATGGGTCTTGCTGGGACCCTGAGCCGACCAGGGATCTCACGGTACAGCCGATGCCACTGAGGCCCAGAAAGGCTAGTTCATGCTATTCCGCATGCTTTCTTGGCCCAGGTCCCCCAGACCAACCTATCTTGCTTCCTAGATAGACCCTCTGGGACAGTGGGAGAGGCACAAAAGACTGGGCAGTAGTATCAGGAGAAAAGGACATTGATCAAGACAGGTGGCTCCTGTCCTCTGCCTGACACCCAACAGAAAAGGGGAATAATTTCAGAGGAAGCCAGAGTCAGCAACCTGGAGCTAGCACAGGGTGGGGCAGGCAGCTAGGACTCAGGATCCAGGACTTGGACTTGGCCTGTCTAATTCCAGAGGCCACACTGGCTCTCTAAGGGGGGAACCAGGTCTGACTACCAGATGGATAAAGACAGACAGCATCACCGCCCCAGTGGCATAGCGTGATGAAATTCTGAGGTAGGGCTAAGACTTGGTATCAGAGGTGGAGTCAGTTAGGCCTGAGCCTCTGTACCGTCTCCCGGGGACTTACAGATACTAATGGAGAAAGAGCCCCAAGACACACTGTTCACCAGCATCCGACAGCAGACCATCCACGTTGTCTCCAGCCTCTGGTAGGTTACAGTCTGTGGGGACTGCCTTGGCCCCCTGCCTGAGAGGCTTTCTGGACGAGGTGGAGGGAGGTCACACACAAAGGCCTTGCTGGACACAGCTTGGAGCTGAGCCGCTGGAGGCCAGGGGCAGGAGTGGGACTGGAGCATTAATCCTGAGCACAGACACTCCAAACAGTGAGCTGACTCCCTCCTCCAAGTAGGGAAGAATCTAGGAGGAGGCCAAAGAGAAGCTGTCTCTAGACCCAGCCAAGCTCCAGGAAGAGGGAGGGAAGGCTGGTCCAGAAAGCTCAGGAGCCCCAGAGCCAGAGACGCAGGTCCCAGTTTGTGTCTCCACGCACAGATCAGGGAGGAGGTTGGACCGGGAGACCAGAGGTGCCTGCTCTCAGACCACGGCGGGCAGTCCACATGGCCTTTGGCAGGGTGGCAGATGCAGCTGGGTGGACATCCACTTGGACTACCGCATCCCCAGGTGCCTCTCCTCTGCCAACCCACACATTCACCAATGCACAGTCACTGTTGATCTCCGGGTGCTTGGGGACTGTTTGGTCTCGTCGGACCCAGCTGGAAGCCAGCAACAAGCACCGCTGTTCTCCAGACAAGCTCCTGGAAGTGGAAAGGCACACCACACACAGGGCTGGGAAAGAGACGGAAGTGAGATGGGGAGGGAAGTAATGCCCTCATGAGGCAGAGGAGTACGAGAGCCCAGCACTGTGTAAGAGAGGCTGATTGACAGCTGACAGAGTGTTGATTCATAGAACGGTCCTCTAAGCCCGGAGCTCTGCTAGAGCCCAGGGCATGGCCTGAGGCTGACTTAAGTTGGCTGAAAGGGGACAGTTAAGCCAAGTCTGACATGAATGAGTCGGTGAGCCCTGCAGGTACTTGGCTGCAGGAGCAGCTCCCTCAGAGGCCCTCAGCTGGCACGTGCTTGAGCTGATTCAGCACCAGTAGAAGACCAGGGGGGTAGATGTGTGCACCAGTCCTGGTGAGAAGCAAAAGGCTGTAAGGTTTGCACCGTCAGAAACACATGCAAGGGGATGCCGGAGCCCTGACCACTGCCCTCCCGGTCCCAGGCCCTCAGGACCCTTCACCTTCCCAACAGTGCTCTGAGGCCACCCATGGATGTGGACAGGAAGTCCCGGCTCCTCTCCGTCTGCTTCCGCAGCGTCTTTGCCCTGCCACTGCTGGAGGCCCTGGAGAAGCACACCTGTCTCTTCCTGGAGCCACCCAACATCCAGGTACAGCCTGCACTTAAGCCCAGGGACACCAGGCTCCGTCTTCTGTGTGTGGCAAGGTAGAGAACACGGCCTGGCCACTCCACAGGCCGGGTAGGGGTCCTAATGGCCCTGGGTCCCCGTTTGTCCACCTGGGACATGGCCCATTCTCATCATTTGGGCCGTGCTAGGGTAGGCGTCTTACTGGATGTGTGCCTGTTCAGGAGTCCGCATGGTCTCCTTGCTGACCTAAAATCCATGTCACTCACCACCGTGCTTCCCTGCCTCCAAACCCTGCGGTCACCCAAGGAATTCACAGAGGAGAGGGGATGGCCCTCTCAAAGAGATGAAGTCCCTGCTATGGCAGGGACTCAGGGACTGGTCCTGCCACACTAAGATGATTTACGGAGTAACCGTCCCTGCAGGGTGGGCGGCATCTCACTCACACCTGCCTGCCTAGGGTTAGTTCTCACCTGTTTAACACTAAGCAGGCCCTGCGGGAAGATGCTTGCCATGACTCATGGCTGCCACCAGAGGGCGCGTGAGATTGTCAGGCATAGTCCCAGCCCCGTGTGTCAGGGGCAAAAGGCAGGACAACTTTGTAAAGTGAACTCTACAGGAATTTAAGCATGGTGAGCCCTCCCCACCTCCCCACAGTGACTAGGGAGCAAGAGGAACACATTTCAGAAGAATAGACAGTAGGAATGCCACCTTCTGAACCCCCTGCCCCAGGACCCCTACTTATCTGTGAAACGGGGCTCAGGCTGCATCAGGACAGATAAGCACTGTGGTAACGGGAGGAGGAGTGTCTGCCTCGACATCTTAAAAAGCACACAGTGACTAGAAGACTCCTTGACCCTGCAGGAAATGCAACCAAGGACTGAGTGTCAGCACTGGGAGCCAGGAGCATTGATCCAGGTCCCTGTTTGTCCCCACTCAATCTGTCTCCTGCCCTGTCACATGGGACTAGCTGCCTGTCACCCCTGTGGAGAAACACTAGCCTAAGAAATGAAGCCATCAAGCCGGGCATTGGTGGAGCACGCCTTTAATCCCAGCAGAGGCAGAGGCAGGCGGATCTCTGTGAGTTCAAGGCCAGCCTGGTCTACAAGAGCTAGTTCCAGGACAGTCTCCAAAGCCGCAGGGAAACCCAGTCTCAAAAACAAAAAAGAAAGAAAGAAAGAAAGAAAGAAAGAAAGAAAGAAAGAAAGAAAGGAAGGAAGGAAGGAAGGAAGGAAGGAAGGAAGGAAGGAAGAAATGAAGCCATCCAGATCACCAAATAGAAAATGGCCAGAGCTCCCTCATGAGAGTCTAGCTGGATGTTTCTGTGACACACACACACACCTGAGCATACTAGCAGCAAACATTGCTGAGGGTCCCTACATGAGACCGGAAGTCACATCAGCCATACCCAATAAGATGCTACTATGCAAAAGCACTTGCCACTCAAGAACAATGACCTGAGTTGAATCCCAGAACAGACTCCTTAAATTTGTCCTCTGAGCTCCACATGTGCGCATGCATGCATACACAGACACATATGCTAAATAAATAATGGAATTAAAATGTACTAAGATTTTCAGGATGAAAAATGCAGCCCATTGCTTCCAGTAAATGTTTCCCTTTTACCCTGAGGTCCTGGGGCCAGGCAGGCCTGGTCACATGTCTACATCTCTATGGGACTGCTGGGACTGAATTTTCCCTAGGGTAAATTCACTTGGGTGGGTTCCCAAGGCTGTTCTGGCCAGTCTCCACGACTATGTGGCAAGCCCCTTTGCAAACACAGTAATGAGCTCTGTCAGTTTCGGGAATCTGGCCTGGGGACATGCAGACAGTGGATATTGCAGCAGGCTTGGGCCTCATCCGTACAGGGCCTGGCTGACCTCCTCCCTTCCGCAGGGACTATACAACCAGACCATGGAGGCCATGGACCACATGCTGCAATGCTTCATGACGCAGAACCCCACAGCCAATGAGCTGTACTTCCTGTTGTCGGTGAGGGCTGGTGGCAGCTGGGGGGCGGGGCGGGGTGCACAGCTCTGGCCCAAGGATCCCAAAGAGGGCACCCCACAGGAAGCAGACCGGGCCAGTAGGCTTCCCATGCCTAGAGGTTTGAGTGTCTGGAGGGGACAGGGAGACATCAGTCAGCCTGGCCAGAAAGGGATCTGTTGAAGTGGCTTCCCTGCCATCTGTGCACAGACCACAGTGTGCCCCGAGGGTGTGGATCCCACAAACCCCCTCATGTGCCCACTGGGTGTCCATGGGTGGGGGGAGACCACTCAGCAAATACTGAAGGCCTAGCAGCAGGGCCTGTGTCCAGTGGAGAGGGCAGCTCCATCCAGGCCAGAGGTCAGGGCCCACTGGAGTTCCCAAGGAGCCCTGAATGAAAACCTTAGCAGCCATCCCTGAGAAGAGGACCCACAAGAGGGCCTGGGGCCAAGGAGAGGCAGGAGTCAGCTCCTTAGGTCACAGCAGAGGTAACTTTGGAGCCTGGAGGGTAAGGGGTTAGGATAAGGTTCAGTAGAGCAGGGGCAGGGCCTCATCAAGAAGCCAAGAGCAGAAACAGGAGCGCCAAGCCCTGTGGTACCCAGGTGGAAATCGGGAGGGAGAACACAGACGAGGGAACCCCCAAGCAACAAGCATGCCAATCTGGGAATGTGCCCAGTGGCGATGGCTTCCACCAGCGAGAGCTCACAATGGCTTCCCCACCCATTGCTGAGCCACTCCATCTCCAATACCCTACGTCTAGGTCAGCTGACCCCTCAACTCAAGCCACGCAGGGGTCTAAAATCAGTGGCCACCCTGTGCCAGAGGCAACCGCATCCCTGTTTATGCGTGGAAGAGCATTCTAGAAAGGGCATCTGGCACACAGCGGGCTGAGAGCTTGGGGGGGCGTGTCTCTGCTGCACAGGAAGTGGCCAGTCATGAAGGGTGGCTCTAGAGACAGGGACTAGCTAGGGAACAAGGAAAGCTGGACATGGAAGTGGTGAAAACCGGGGAGCTTTACTGAGGGTTGGGCGTGGGGGGCCATCTCTGGGGCCTGGCACAGCCTTGACTACGCCCACCCTGCAGCACCTGTATGTCTGGCTGTCGTCAGAGAAGGTACACGAGCGGCAGCGGGCTGTGCACAGATGCACGACGCTCTTCAAATTCCTCAACCATAAACGCTGCCTAAACGTAAGTACCATCGCCCCAGCTCCTCACCTCCCTAGACCCTGCCTACCCTGTTCTCTCCTCCCTAGACGCTGCCTACCCTGTTCTCTCCTCCCTAGATGCTGTCTACCCTGTCCTCACCTCCCTAGACCCTGCCTACCCTGTTCTCTCCTCCCTAGACGCTGCCTACCCTGTTCTCTCCTCCCTAGACGCTGCCTACCCTGTTCTCACCTCCCTAGACGCTGCCTACCCTGTTCTCTCCTCCCTAGACCCTGCCTACCCTGTTCTCTCCTCCCTAGACGCTGCCTACCCTGTTCTCACCTCCCTAGACCCTGCCTACCCTGTTCTCTCCTCCCTAGACCCTGCCTACCCTGTTCTCTCCTCCCTAGACGCTGCCTACCCTGTTCTCACCTCCCTAGACCCTGCCTACCCTGTTCTCTCCTCCCTAGATGCTGCCTACCCTGTCCTCACCTCCCTAGGCCCTGCCTACCCTGTCCTCATCTCCCTAGACCCTGCCTACCCTGTCCTCACCTCCCTAGACCCTGCCTACCCTGTCCTCATCTCCCTAGACCCTGCCTACCCTGTTCTCTCCTCCCTAGACGCTGCCTACCCTGTTCTCTCCTCCCTAGACGCTGCCTACCCTGTTCTCTCCTCCCTAGACCCTGCCTACCCTGTCCTCACCTCCCTACATCCTCACCTCCCTGGATCTTCGCCTCCCCAGGTTCACGCCTCCCCAGGTCCACGCCTCCCAATCATGCCTCCCCTGCTCCTGGCCTCCCCAGCTCCCTAAACATATGCCTTCAAGGATAGGGCCTCCTGCTCGGAAGAACACCTATGCCCCTGCCTCCAGGCAGGGTGGACCCTGAACATCCTGCTATCTGACTGAGCTCCAAATCAAGGGAGTCTCAATAATATCCTTTTTGTTGTTGTTCTTTTATTTTTAATGGAGTAAATAACTTTTTAAATTTTAATTTTCTGGAATTGAGCCCCCCAAAAAAACAACTCCATAATGAAGATAAATCACATTTTAATGTGGTCAGATGTGGCTGTGGGGACTGGAGAGATGGCTCAGCAGTCAAAAGCACTGACTGCTCTTGAAGAGAACCTGGATTCAATTCCCAGCATCCTCGTCGTGGCTCACAATCCTTCATAACTCCAGTTCCATGGGATCAGGCACCCTCTTCTGACCTCTGCCAGAACCAGGCACACATGTGGCGCACAAATATACAAGCAGGCAAAATACTCATACACATAAAAGAAAGATAAATCTCTTAAGTGTAACTATGGTCCACAGAGTGGCTACTTATTTTGTAAATATTTTGGGGGGGTTGTTTGTTTTTGGTTTTTTGAGGCAGGGTTTCTCTGTATTGTTTTGGAGGCTGTCCTGGAACTCACTCTGTAGACCAGGGTGGCCTCGAACTTACAGAGATCCGCCTGCCTCTGCCTCCCGAGTACTGGGATTAAAGGCGTGTGCCACCACCACCCGGCTTTGTCAATGGTTTTATTAGCTCCAGAATTGAGATAAAGAAAGAAAAGCCAGATAGTTGGGCGTGTCTCAAAAAATCAAGAGAAAGGATAGAGAGGGAGGAGCCAGATAGTGTCCTACAAGGTCACAGTTGGATGCTGTCCTAAAACCTTGACACTCTGCAGTTTTTTGTTTTGTTTTGGGGTTTTGTTTTCTTTTGTTTTATTACATTACCCCATTCCCTTCCCTTGATTACCAACCCTGCCACACAATTGGAGGGATCCTCTGGCAGAGGCCATTCTGGGGACACAATGAGCCAGTGGGATGCTGTAGGTATACCTACCATCAATGCTATGCTCTCTACATAGACAAAGGAGACCTTCAGAAGGTTTGGGCAGCTGGTGGCCATGCTGGGGATCCTGTGCCAGGATGCAGACAGAACCATCCAGTGCTTCAGCCTAGAGGCCATGAGCCATGTCTATCAACTTCTGATGCACTGGAAAGGTGAGTGTTCTCAGCGCCCCAGCACACCTGACGCCTCCCTCCCTCCCTCAGCCTGAGCAGACACATCCCAGTGTTCCTGAACTCCACCTTTCCCCAAGGCCACCCTCAGGCCAACCTTGACTTCAGCCATAACCTAGCAACACAACCCCTGAACCCAAATACACACAGGCCTGATGCCAGTTACTAACGGGCCCAGCCTGACCCACTCTGCCCTGCCCTTACCCCTGCCTGCCCTGACCAGCAGGAGAAGTTCCAGAGTTGGAAACGGAGAACCTTCAGGAACACCCTCTGCCTGACGCAGTTGGAGCTGCCCTCTGGAGCAGTGGAGACCAGAGGGGCACTCTTCTGATCCCCCAGGATGTGGCATCCAAAAACAGCAGTGTCTTCATGAGCAGCAACCAAGCCATCAAGGTCAAAGCCTTTATAGTCTCTCTGGATGGGTGGGCGCATAGCCAGCGCTGACTGCCACATCTGTGGGTGGCGAGAAACACATCCTTTTCTAAGCTGTTGTAGGGGAGCCAGGCAGGTTGGAAGGACACCAGCACACACTAGACCATGTGTACCTTGGACGGGAGCCTCCATGGTTTTCTCAGATCCCTTTCTGAAGTCTATCCAACCTTCTCTAGACTGTTTTCCTAACTACAGCCCCCACCCCTTTCACACCAGGGTTTGAAGTGTGCTATCCTCAGAAGCCACAGCGGAGGCTGTGAGATGGGGACTGGTGTCAGCTTCAGGGCCCATGCTAAAGCAGGATCCGACCTGTGAGTTCAGGAAGTCTGTGAGGCGTGAGCTCGTGCTTGCTCAGGTTGGGCGTGAGCTCGTGCTTGCTCAGGTTGGGTTGACCTCTGGCTAAAATGGCCTCTGGGCTCTGAGCATCTCACCTGCAGTCCAACTTGAACTTTATGTAAGGTTGAGCACGGTCTACATCTCTGTAGATCAAAGAAGCCACTGCCCCAATGTAGCTGCTGAGCTCCTGGAATGAATATAAGGCTGCCAAAGAAATGAAACTTTCGTTTTACTAAATTAAATATTGATAGATTTAAGTCTATCATAGATCTAAACTACTATGGGTGGCAGGGCTATTGTGTTGAACCGCCATAGTCCAATTCTTTCCAGAAGGTTCTGTCTGTGTTGTGATCCAACCCAGTTTTACTCTCCAGGGCCCCAGGAAGAAGGATTTAGAGACTTAAACCTACCACCTTCATGTTTATCTCAAGTGTCCTTTCCATCCCCCTGAGTAACTCATGAGCTACATTCAAACAAACATGAGACTCACCATTAGACCGACCCTGGAGAATGTAGTTGCTAAGCATAGATGGAGGCTCAAAGGGCCCTACATGAGACAGTAGCCCTGGATTTCACACCATCCTGGTCCCATATATTCTCTCTGGGCCTACAGGTCAGACCTAGTGGCCTGGAAGGTCCACCACAGTTCCCAAGTTCAATTTGCTTTCGTTAAAACCCTCCTAAGTAGAGAGGACTGGTCTTGGGCAGCATTTCTCTGGACTCGGGGTAACATGTGGGACCAAGATGAGAACAGGACGGGATGAGACAAAGCTTCCAGGGCCACCAGAATCCAAGAACAAGCCTATTCTGGTTAAGGAGGAGAGACCTTCCCATCTCTAGGCATTGGCTGGGGCAGAGAGATGTGGAAGATACTGTGAACTGGGCCCACACAGAGAGCCTAGGAAGTGGGTGGCCAGAGATTCGGGGAGTCTGACAAGGAGAAAGGTAAGGGGACAGGCACAGGAATATGAAGTGATAAGGTGACACACTCTCTACTCCCACAGGAGCTCATGAGTCATCTTGCAATGGCAGAGTTGACTGACCTCATCTGGACAGCTGTTGATGGTTTGGGCTCTACCAGCTCTTCTTGGGTGCAGGCAGCTGCCAATATGCTTTTCCTTGCCATCCAGGAACACGGGGACAACCTGGCAACAGTGAGGGGTTGGGGCCCCACCCAGGACCAGGGAGGAGAGGGGCAGAGTTGAGGACTAGGCAGCAGGCAGCAATCTAGGGACCTTCTCTGGACCAGGATGGAAAATACTGGGATCCCACTAAGGCAGCAGACAACCCAGTTAGTGGAGAGATGGAAGGGGGATGGATGGGGGGTAGAAGAGGGATGGATCAATAGATGGATGGACAGACAGACAGACGGACGGACGGACAGACCGATAGATAAATGGATGAATGGGTGGGTGGATGGATGAATGGATGGATAAGTGGATGTATATGTTGACACGGGGACAACTCAAGGGAGCCCTTGTGGCCCTGGTGACAATTGCAGGGTTATGAGGTAAATGTACATTGATTAAGTACAGCTATGGACCAAAGAGGAATGCGGTGACACAGGAAAAAGCAGGCCAGAACTTCCAGAGCTTGTGGTCTGATGGGGTGACAACGTACAAACAGGGGTGGACAGAGCAGCTTAGTAGGTGCAGAGAGAGAGAGAGAGCAATGAACCCTTTGGGGTGAGAAGGGCGACCCAGCCGGGGATAGCCAATGCAAACTTCTCCCAACACCTTCCCTTCAGGTCAGATGTGCAGAGTAGGGGCTTCCCCATCAGACCCCTCCCACTACTGCCTACCCCTGAACAGGTTGGTAAAATGGGCCAGGCCATCCACCACCACCTCTGTGCCATCCAAATGCCCCAAGCCAAGGACAGTGCACTGCGTGCCATCACCCTGCTGGCCCGGAACCACATCCCAGAGCTGGTGGCTGCCTTCCTAGACTTTTCCACTACCATGGACAGGTACCTAGCCCTACCCTCCTCACTAAACTAACTTCCATCCTCGCCCAAGTCAGGGTCACAGCCCACTGGACCCCCGGGTCTAGGGGATAGATCAGGGTTCTCTTTGCTGTTCATGTCCCTTCTACCTGAAATCCTACCTCTGGTCCCATACCCTCAATCCAGAGTGCCCACCATTCACCCACCATTCCTTGTACAAGTCACCCCTCACTTCTTGATAGTGTAGCATCTGCTCAGATAGACTCCACTTTCTCAGACCCTTTACAAAGTAGAATTCCCCTCTGCCCCTCACTTCTGATTGGATCTCTCACTCCCTCCAAAATCCACCATGCCTCTACCTGGTAGGACCAGCCTACCTCCTCACCCTCCCACCCCTCCACCCCACCCCAACTCCCCCACCCCATCCCCCACCCCCGTCCTCACCCGGTTCCTGCTTCCCAGGTCGGTTCCACCGATCAGTCCCACCTTGCGTACCAAGGTCCTTGTCCTGGGTGCCGACTTTGCCACACACTGCTCTGGGAACTCTGGAAGCCTGTGAGAGCTCTTCCAGAGCCTAGAGTCTTCTCCAGGGAGAATTCTCACCTCAGCAAGGAGGTGTCCTGTTTCCATTAGCAAGTTGCCTTCAAATGCCATTGCTGCTCTCTCATCTCTCTGGACTTTCTGGTTCCTTTAAGATGTTGTTAATGTTGCCTAGGTCCTCGAAAGAAAAGAACGTTTCTATCATCTCATTGTGCAGTTTAATATATTTGCCAGCAGAGGACAGCTTGTTGGAGTCAGTTCTCTCCTCTGTATTAATCCTGGAGCTAGCACACGTCAGGCTTGTGGGCAAGCACTTTCCCTGCCGAGCCCTATCGATGGCCCGGGTTTTACCTCCCTTGTAAGTAACTTGGTCATGTTGCCTGGATGATGTTTTTTCTCTCTTGGAAACCTAGGTTTTTCACTAGGTGAGGTATTCCAGCCTAATATTTCCAAGCAGCTGATGCATCTTTGATTATGTCACCAAGCCTTTTCGTTCTTATTTCTGGGGTGTTTACTTGACTGTGTTTAAATACGGTCTCTGCCCACGTCATAGTCTCTGGTGACATGCTACTCTTCACCTCCTTCATGGTCATGCCTGCTGATGTTCCTGGCTTCTCCCTAACTCACCGTCCTCTCCATGTCGCTCTTCTGCCTTGTCTGAGTGTCCCTTACTAAATGTTCATCTGAGTCGTACCTCTCTGAGCTTTTCTATGTGTGTGATACACACATGTGGTGTGTGTGTGTGTGTGTGTGTGTGTGTGCTCGCCTGTGTGCACGCACATGCCTGTGGAGGCTAGAAGCCAACACTGAGTCTTCTTCAGTCTCCTACAGCTTTCTCTGAGGCAGGGTCTCACACTTAGAACCAGAGTTCACTGACATGGCTAGCCTCTGCCTTCCAAGGACTGGAATTACAAGTGAGCTGCCACACCCACCTGGCATTTATGTGGGTTCTGGGTCTCTGAACTCTGGTCCTTACACTTGTAAAGCAGGCTCTGTTGTGCCCAAGTTGCAAAGATCCCCAGAGACCATCAGGAAGACAGACCCACCAAACTTCAAAGGCAAGGTTTTAATTGTTCATCCAACCATGACAGGGACCCCGTCTAGCAAGCTGACTCAGCAGCCTCCAGAGGGAGTGAAGTTCCCTGTCTACTGTTAGGTTTTAAAGACAAAAGTTACAGGTACGGGTTGGTTTCTGGTTGGTTGACATTTGGGAACAATTAGAAGAATTTCTCAAAGCCATATTTTGGCATGAAATACCTGTGTACCAATTATTTTCATTGGTCAGTGCTGAAAGAGGAAATTCTGTGGTTTTAATGGCATTGTCTTGTTACTTGCAGGTGGTCTGTTGTACATAGATACCAATAGTTTTCAGAACTATATCCTGGAGACTACAGGGTAGGTTTTGGTCTCCCCTATAGTTTCTTTTGTGGCCAAACAGTTCCCAGAAACCAAGTATCTAGGAGACTGGGGTGAGGAGGTCTGGAATGTCTTTGTGTTCAGTTTTGGCCCTAGACTCCAGGAGGCCAGAGGATCTGGAGTTTCCTTGTGCCAGAGGCCTATGAGTCTTTCCTGTAGCCTGTCATGGCTTCTAAAGCAGGGGCTGAGTGAGGGTCTGGCCCCTTCATTTCTAAATTACTAGAAGTGAAGCCTTTGAGTTTAGTTTACCCCTTTCAGCTCTTGAAAGTCTGACTGGCTTGCTTGCTTGCTTGTTTTTAAGACAAGTCTTGCCAGGCTAGCCTTGAACTTATCCTCCTCTGTCTCAGTCCTTGAGTTCTAGGATTGTTGTGCCCAAATTCTGAATTCCAAAATCACCAAGAGACCCGTTCTGATGCAAAAACAAAAGGCAGGTGCTGTGCTCTGCACGTCACTGTTAGACCACTTTTACCATAAAGCACCCCAGAGCCCGTCAGCTAACTTCTGATTGGTTCCTTGCCACGTGGAGGGTGTCTGACATCATAGTGACTAGAGCAGCTCCTGCAAGGTCAGAAACTAAGCACACACGCTGAGTCAGGGGCCTTTGTCTTGCTGGGTCTTTCTGCAGCCTGTCATGGCTGCTAAAGCAGGGGGCTGGGTGAGGTTTGGTCCCTTTGGGATAACCTAGCTGAGGTCATTGTTTTATTCTTTCTCTCCCCCCCCTCTTTTTTTTTTTTTTTTTGGTTTTTCCGAGACAGGGTTTCTCTGCGGCTTTGGAGGCTGTCCTGGAACTCACTTTGTAGACCAGGCTGGCTTCGAACTCACAGAGATCCACCTGCCTCTGCCTCCCAAGTGCTGGGATTAAAGGTGTGCGTCACCAACGCCCGGCCTCCCCCCCTTTTTTTTCTAATTCCTTTCAGGCCATACTGAAGAGTTGTCCTTTCTTGAGCATCTTCCAGGTGACTGATCTTGTAAGCACTTGCCATGGAGTGGGTCCAGGATTCTGCTGTAGTACCAACACTCTGTTGACTCATAGCGTCTAGTTTTTGCAACAAACTGTAGAGCTATTTGTCTCGGCCGGTGTTTTATTGCTGTGAAGAGACATCATAACCAAGACGACTATTATAAAAGAAAGGGGCTGGCTTACAGTTTCAGAGGGTTAGTCGATCCATTATCAGCATGGTGGGAGCATGGCGGCAAGCAAAAGTGGTACTGGAAAAGTAGCCGGGAGCTACCCCCTGATCCGCAGGGAGCTACCCCCTGTTCCGCAGGGAGCTACCCCCTGATCCGCAGGTCAAGAGAGAAACTGACTTTGGGCCTGGCTTGGACTTTTGAAACCTCAGAGCCCACTCCCAGTGACACACCTCCTCCAACAAGGACACACCTCCTAATCCTTCTCGAGTAGTGTCACCCCCTGAGGACCAAGCATTCAAACATGTGAGCCTGTGGGGGCCACTCCTATCAAACCACCACACTGTTCATGTTGGAGCTGCTGGGGTGTTTCATGGCAAGTTTCGTGGCTCCGTCTTCTGTCGGTGCAGCAAAAGCCGGGCCGTCTGGAAGACTGTGGGCCAGGTGGTAGGCAGTGTACATGCCCTCTAGGTCTTCTTTTCTTCCTCGGACCTCCTCCTCCTCCTCCCCTCTCCCTTTTCCCTCTCAAAGCTGTACATTTGAAGATGACAAACTGATTAACTCCCTCCCCGTGTCCTCCGGGCACTAAATGAGAGGCAATGATGAGGAGTAAGACAAACGTAACACAGACAGACGGCAGACAACGTAAGCAGTGCTGGTGATGAAGGGAGGTGCTCTGACCTCCCTGAGCAATCTCTCCTTTGGTGTATTTTAAGACTTCAAGGGGATTAATCTTACTGAAGGTGGCTTTGACCTAGTCTGAGCCCTGTGTCCACTTCCCAAAAGTTTCTCTTATCTTCCTTTTATCTGCCTGTCACAGAGCCTCGAGGTAGCAGGTGGAGCTTGCACAGGAGGGCTGGTGTCTGTGCTGTCTGCACTTTCTGGGAAAGTGCAGGTCCCAGCGAGCAGCACCTTTTCCCTGATGCCTAGCAGTTTACAGTTCCATCCCACTGCTGGAATTTATACCTTGCTTCCTCAGTCCCAAGCACTGTCCCCATGAGTACCTTTACAGAGCCTGCGTGTGTTGCACACCAGTGGAGCCTCGAATGGCTGGATTTATCTGGATTTGCATCAGCTTCTACCAGTCGCCTGGTCATTTGTGATGGTTTTAAACATAAAAGTCCCTGCCTGACCATTTGGGGGCTGCATTGGTGGTGGGAATTTAGACATCTAAATAGGATTTATGGTTCAGATTCCCAGGACAGCACCCTCTTCCTACCCAGAGTGCTAAAGCGGGGTACCAGGGAGCTTTTTTCTACAGGGCAGAGATCTGTTTGTTAATTGATATCTTCCCTAAGCTATGCACATAATTATATGTAAAGATCACCTATTAGGTGCCCATCATGGACAACCTTTCTTTAAAAAAAAAAAACGGCATGTCATAGCTAGATATGCGTGTGACACTTAGAATCCCAGCACTCAAGAGGCTGAGACAGGAGGATTACAACTTTAAGGAGAGTCTATGTGTAGACCCTGTCTCAGAAGGAAACAAACAAATAGCCACCTTGCCTCAGGAGGGAGGAACGTCAGGAATGGTAAGACAGGATTTCCTCCTTCTCCAAGTTCAAAGACAGCCAGATCTGTGTAGCAATTTCCAGACCCGCCAGGGAGACAAGAAAGACCATCCCAACCATGCAGTGTGTGCTGAAAGGCAAACAGCCATGCAAACTGGACTCTTGCAATGTCTTTCTTCTTACCTGGCTTTGCCTCTGGCTCCATACAGCTCCCTCCTCTTTACGACTCTGTGGTGCTGACGGTATGAATGCCAAGGGCTCTCTCTCTTCACTATAGGTGAAACATTAATTATTTCCCATTGGAGACCTTGACTAACAGTGTGTCTGTGAACTTGCTTGTGTGCCCTAACACACTTGAAAACTGGGCTCCCCGTGTGCATGCGTGCATGCGTGTCCGTCCACTCCAGGGACAGAAAGCTCTTCTCT